ACTCTGACACTTCTTAAAACGGATTTTCTCCCTGGCTTGGCCAGCATGCATACCCCAAGAATTCTTTCCTTTCAGCAGTCTGCTTGTTCCAAGTTCACGAGTAGAAATAGGCAAGTAGAATTGGTTGATTGCTGCAGTGAGTTTTAAAGTTTAGTAAAACCAGTGCGTGCACTTCTGTTTGGTGCCATTTGTCTGTTGTAGCTGAATAAAACAGTAATTGGTTACACATCTGCTCTTTACTGTTACTCTGGTGAAATATTTCCTGTGACTGAATGCATGGTAACAGCTGTTACAGAAAGGTAGGTGGCAGAACTTTAATTTAACACACTGTAAAATATGCTGTGAGTTTAATTAAACAGCACTGAAGTATCATTGCATTCAGAAAGTAGTAATCACCTGTGGTCTAGATGTTTTCTAGGACATCTTTTTCTCCCCTACTTCTGCGGATTGACTTTGTCAGAAATCCATTTGGTACCGTTCTATTTAGGCTTTAACAGATCACTGTGTGAAGAGCACTATGCAAATGTAGCATTTTCCGAAACGATTGAGCAGAATAGCTCAGTGTGTCTCATAAGCTCTGTTTTTAATAATGCAGTACTTGTGAACTGCCACCCTTCACTAATACTGTTTTCTGGTTTTTTTTCTTTTTTTTTTTTTTTTTTTTTCCCCGAAAGTACTTCTATTCAGCTTTTTTTACTCTTGATTGCTAATTTTTAGCTTTTTTAAATTCAGCTTTATTTGGTTCAGGAAACAAGAGTCACATACTTCTTGGTGATTTTTCATCCTACTTGTAGTATTACTAAGTAGAAGGAAAGAGAATTTAGTGAATTTATCTTTTCAGAACCCATTTATAACACTCAAAAGTTACGAAGCCTTTTTTTTGTACTTTATTTGACTGGGATGTGGTGCTTAACCTTGACATGTGTTGATGCTTTCCCTCACCTTCCTTTCCTGTCATCTGGTGTGTTCTATCTGCAAAAGTTTCAAAAATGTGAAAGACTTTGACTGGTTTGTATACTACTGACTGTTTCACTAATCAATATTTAATATGGTTTTCATAGGATATGTAACATGACACTGATATTCTGGACAGGTAATTTTCATTGTTTGAAAACCTTACATAATAAGGGGAATCAGGTAACTGCTAGAAATGAGCACCTTATTTATTTATTTTTAGCATCATATTGCCAAGGATCTGTTCTGTGAAATCTAGTCTTGAAAAACCTATAGCTTCTCTTTGCAATTAGCGTCAAAATAGTTCTGAAATTGTCAAAGTGAAGTTAATATTTAAAGGGACACTGTCACTTTTTTAAACTGAATTTACAACCTGGTCCTAAAAACTCTTTAATTATTGCTCCCTTACTGAAAGTTTGTGAGACTATTTGGTGCAATTCGGTACAATGTTGGAGGCAGTGAAGCTAGTCCCTTTGGCTTGTCCTTCCCACCCTCCATATGCACATGCCTGCTTGTTTCCTCTTTGGTTGCAGCTTTGCTATGGCTGTGTGCACCCTCTTGCAGAGCCTGGGGCAGGGCGTGCATGCTTGCTCTCTCCAGAACAGTGCATGAGTGATGTGGTCATGCTGGTGCATGAGGAGAGTGCAATTACTGTCAATGACACTGGCTGCAGGTGAAGTGCTGCCACCAAATAGATACAATAATGGAGGTGTTTCTTACCTAATCTTTTCTATTTCCTTATGAGCTGTGGAAGTAGCAACTTTTGTGTAGTTAACGTGAGAATTTCAACTATGCAAAAATGTAATCTCATGCATCTGACTCTGTCCCTTTAAATTCTCCATCCTAGAATGTCTAGCTGCAAAATCTGTACGTACTGTACTGAGTGGTGCAGTTGATTTGCTTGAGGGAAGGAATACCATCCAGAGGACTGTGACAGGCTTGAGGCATGGGCCCATGTGGACTTCATGAAGTTCAACAACAAGGTCCTGCACCTGGGTCGGGGCAACCCCTGATATCAGACTGGAGGATGAGTGGGTTGAGAGCAGCCCTGCAGAGAAGGACTTTGGGATACTGGTGGATGAAAAAGCGGACATGAGGCAGCAACGTGCACTTGCAGGCCAGAAAGCTGGTCTTAGCCAATGGTACGAGAAAGACACAGACCTGTTAGAGTGGGTCCAGAGGAGAGACACGAAAATGATCAGAGGGATGGAACATCTCTCCTATGAAGAAAGGCTGAAAAGAGTTGGGGTTGTTTAGCCTGGAAAAGAAGACTCCCAGGGTGGCCTTATTATGGCCTTTCAACACTTAAAGGGGGCTTATAAGAAAGATGGAGAGAGACTCTTTACCAGTGCCTGTAGTGACAGGACAAAGGGTACATTCAGTCCTAAAAGAGATGCAGCAAAATAAAGATGAAATAAACTTTCATTAAATTCTTTGTGGTGAGGGTGGTGAAACACTGGAACAGGTTCCGTAGAGAGGTGGTAGATGCCACATCCCTGGAAACATTCAAGGTCAGGTTGGACGGGGCTCTGAGCAACCTGATCTAGTTGAAGGTGTCCCTGCTCACTGCAGGGGGGTTGGACTAGATGGCTTTAAAGATTCCTTCCAGCCCAAACCGTTTTATGATTTCATGAAGCAATCCAGAAAAGGATATGTCTTGGTAGAGTCCTCTAAAATGAAGTAGCTTGGCAGCAGACAGCAGATGGAAGTTAACATAGTTGAAACAATGCCTGGTAAGGCATAAACTGTGTTAACATCTCTGTGTGTAACTACAGCTCAGGAAGCCATATCTGGCAGGAATTAGAAATGACTGTTCTTGGATTTTTTTTTTTTTTTTTTCCCCCACAAGAAAAAGAGAGTGAGTGAGACGGTGTTAACCGATTTGTGTGATTATATGTAACTATGCGTATGTATAGATACAAAACTATTTAACACATCTATGTGTGTGCACATGAGCGTTTGGTGTTTTGAGCCTTAAAAAGTAAGCCCGAAAACTGCAGAAACCGGTAAACTGAAAGCCATTGAAAGATAGAAAGCAGAGTGGAAGAGAGGAGAGTAAACACGTGTTTGGGATCTGATCATATTTTGAAAAGAAACAAAAATGTGATGAGCACTGAAAACCTGTTCCTTATTCTTGACCATATGTCCAAGAACAGGAAGATATTTAGCAAAGCCCAGAAAACTGGCAATAACTTGTTTATGGAGTGGGGTTTTAATTTCGGTCCTGTCTTTCTGTGGTAGAGGAATCTAGCCACAGTGAAAAAAGAAATCTATTCAAATGAGAAGCTACCCAATGATAGTTCTTTATCATCTTTCTTTAATTTGTGAATATAGCTAATTAGTTACTACTGATTAATCACACATGAAAAGCTCTGATGGGATTAGGTGCAGGGGAGGACTGTGCAGAGTCCAGAGGAAATGAACAAAATCATTTCAGCGCAGTACAAGATAATGGTGGAACCTGAATTTTATTTTAGATTCACCATGGAATTGGTGTCAGGTTACTGGAAGTTGGGTGTTCCAAAAGCTAATTAAAATACCAAGTTTTTTAATGAAAAAAAATGAGGATGGTTGGGCATCAATACCTTAACTAAATCTAGTCTTATTTTGATAGAAATCTATGTATCTTTATATATTGTTCATTTTGTGATATAAAACCCAAAGTACACTTAAAGCTGTTTTTATTCATGGCGCATACTGTGTTTTTAGTAAGGTATGCTTTTCCTTGGCTCTATGATATGTTAAAAAGCTGAAAATACCATGTCAAAACCACCAAACTGGTTAATGCCTAATCTTGTTAATAGTGATGGTGCTCATTCCTAGCTTGAGATCTAGTGTGTTGGCAGATCTTAAATTGGAAGTGGCCCTGGGTTTGGTTTAAATTTTCGCTGATCAACGTACTTGAAAGGAAGCTCAGTTGCCTTGTTAGTTTTGCCAACTCTGCTCTCCTATTTCTCTGCAGACTATTGCAACTATTTTAAGTTGTAATTGTTGTTTCAGAAATCATTTATGCTGGAGAATGAATTTTTATTTTGTTCTCAATATTCATGATTGAAAAAATTTTGAGTAATCAATCCTAAAACATTTGAAGTGTTTAATAACTGGTACTTCATGAAACTAAAAATAATTTCTGTTGAATATCAGGTTTAAATTAAAAAAAAAAATCCAGTAATTAAATGCTTGTAAAAAATAAGATTTTGACAGTAAAGAACATATTCTCCACGTTTATGCAAGAAATCAAACATAATTTGATTTTTCTTGAACAGGGGAAGGCAGTAGGTCATGCATGGTAATATTAATTGGTGATACTGTCAGGTGTTTTTAGGGACATTAAAGTGCATATTTGGCTTTAACAAGCTGACCAAAATTAACAACAGCCTGATAAGTCAGGTGCACTTTCACTCTTGCATAAGTTTATGGGCACTTTTACTGTCAAGAAGGCGAAACCGTGAGCTGTCAAAAATCGTGGAAAGTAGTTTTCAGAACTTCTGTCATTAAAATTAATTTCTGCTTATGTGTAAATAGGCACAGCTATTAAACTGTGTATACCAGCACTTAATGTTGCATTAATACATTATTAACCTGACAGTGTCCCTAAGTTATCATGTCTGTCTGCTTTCATTTTCCAGCTGGGTTTTAATTTTGCATGCGTTTCAGTGAAATATAGTATGCATAATAGCTGTTTCCTGGAAGCATTTTGGGGCTGTCTCTGCTAGTATTCTCCAAAATGAGCAAGGTAGTGGAATTTATTTCCCTTTTGTGGAGGTTTGTTAGCTAATGAATAAGTAATGAAGAAGTGATTCCACTTTATTTACATATATGCATATGTGTTTTTGAGCTTAATGTTGTTTGAAGAATAGCTGTAAGTAATAGAGATCCCTTCTTTTTAATAACAACCCAAACAACTCCAAGATTTAGTAGATCTAAATATTTATATTTTGAGAAAAAAATTTAAACCGTGGTTAGTTTGTCAAAGCAATTTGTAATGTGTAATGCTTGTCCTTAGTTTATCATAGGAGCCTTCGTGAAGCTGTTTTTTTGAAGTAATGCCAATAGAAAGTGGAAGTTGTGCATCTGCTCGCCAAGCAAAGCAGAAACGTAAATCACACAGTCTTTCAATCCGAAGAACCAACAGTTCTGAGCAAGAACGAGCAGGACTGCAGAGAGACATGTTGGAAGGGCAGGTAAGATAATACACTGCTGTTTGGGTAACTTCTGTAACTTTTTTATGAGGAATGTTTTGTGTGTGAAGAAAGGAAATAAACTTCCTTAATAAAATATGTCCAGTAAAGCTGCAGGAACAGCAGGCTTTCTTGCTTGCAAGTGCTGACTGTCTTTGGACATTATTGACATGGATGTTGACAGTGTTTCAGGTTGTATTCAGACCTGTGGCGCTTTTTACTGGCTTTTGTGTGTTCTTACATGAATGATAAACTCATGAAGAAATACAAAGAAACAGCCTATTTGTTTTGGTGCATCTCCCCTGCCCTCCCCCCCATCCCCATCAGAGTTGAAGATTGATTCTTAATTTCATAAGTTTGAATTTGGAACAGTAGCAATCCAGGAATATAGATAAACTGAAATACTTGTTGTTATGGCTTTGATAGGGAAGGTATTAGTGGGAATGCTGTTCTGCATTCCTTTCCATAAAGTGAACAAATGTTGCCTGCTTGACAGAGGCATAAAGTAACTTAAATTTTTGTTTGTGTTTTTATTTTATTTTATTTTTTTAAAATTTGGCTCAAATGAAGGTGTGATCTTCTGTGTATTAAACTTAAGGGAAAGAACAACAACCACAAACTTCTGTACTTTTCTTAATTGTGTCGGTCTGTGTAGTGGATGCAATCTGGAGCCACTTGGAGTGTTTCACCTAACAATATTGAGATTAACTGTAGGTAAGGCTCCTATAGGAAGTATTTAAGTAGTGCTGCTAAAGATAAGCAAGTGTTAGTTGGAAAACTATTTATTGTCAAATTGACCTTGCAATGTTAACGTCGGCCTGGCGAAGATGATGTAAAACTTGATTTTTATCAGAGAGGTCATTTGAAATACTAACAGTGCTTGGTTGTGAGAAACCTCATATTCTGGACTCTGGATACTCTGAAGGGAAAACCTTGCATTTTCTCGGTGTTGTGACATACTTTTTTTTTTTTTTTTTTTAAATTGAATCTCTTATTCTGTAAATTATAGAGTTAGTTTTCTGGGAACTAACAGAGCCCAAGCTGTTGCTTCTAGTTGTCCAGAAGTTGGAGCATGTAGGTACTTGGGTAGAAAACTGTTAATGCGTTTGGATTATTACAGACTTACTTCAGGACAGGAGTGAAGGGCAGTGGGAGGTCGAGGCATGCTGCCACTTCTGTGTCGTAAACCAAAATTTTAATCTGTTTTGATATTTCTTACCAAACTCTATAAGTGTATTATGCTGTTACATGTAGATGTTTTAAATGTTTTATGTGTTATCTTATTTAATTTTGTTGACCTTTAACCTTGAACAGCCAGTAGCAGATTGTAACGAGTAGAGAATATTAATGCCCCTTCAGAGTGGAGCTGTAAACCACATGAAATCTATTTAAGTACTTTTGCAGATAAACAGATAACATTATTACGTGGTATTTTAATAACCTAATTTAAATAATTTAAAGAGAGTAAAGGAAGTGGATGTGTTTTACTATGCTGGTTGCTTTAGGACAGGTTTAGCTTTGCTTATGCTTTCAGGCTCTGAGAAGTGGATTGAAAGTTGTAGGATAACTTAGTTTCTTTCATGATCTTGCTGTATGGAATTATTGGGTAATTGAATCAGAAATAATTCTTCTAACTTCAGTGTTCTGTTAGTAGTGTTTCATTTGTGTAGTATTCCTGTTTAATCAATTTTGTTTCAGGTTGGTTTTAATTGGGATCCGTTTCACGTTCTGGTTGACTGTGAATGCATGAACAAAAGTACTGAACAAAAGTACTGTCTCAAAGGAGAGGTGGAAGAAGATCCTAGGGGCCCATAAGGAGCATAGTACCACTTCTTTCAGCATAATGCCACAGCTTAAAGTAGCTGTGAAACTGGTGTAAACTGAATTCTCCACAAAGCAGATGTGCTCTGTCATGGCAATTAGTGATTTCTCTTGCTCTTCTCGCTGAAATTGATGTTCAGAAATAACTTACAAAATCGGCATCGTGACAGGCTTCTTTGAGAGTTTCTGAAGAGAGTCGTCTCGACTCTGTATGAATTAAAATGTGAGTGAGATTAAATTCTGGTTGTTTGTATGCTGACTTGGTTGAAGGCGCTTGCTGCCCTCTGATGGCTAGTATGCACATGCTTCCTCCTAATTCAGTCAGTTTATAGGAGCGGGAGCAATTTTTTTCGTTTGGGTTTGGTGGAACATTTGAGAACAAAACAAGCTGTAATCATTCATAAACTTGCATTGAATAACGAAGTTCACTCCAATTTGGGTGGTGTCCTGTGCTAGCAGTTGTAATCCCATTCTAGTAATGCTGCTTTTGTACTTCTAGACCTGAAATAGTGGTTTGTACTGTGGCAGAAGCTGAGTCAGTTTTCTTTTTTTGCTCATAGCTGATGATGTCAAGACTTTGAAATGACATACTTTTGCTTTGTTTGAAAAAAAGTAGATGTTACTGATGGGCACATTCCCTCTATATTTGATAGATGGACATTGATACATTGATAATGTGGTGTACATGATGCCATATTAATCTCACTTTGGAATGTGGTAACTTGTTTCCTTGCATAGGTATTTCTCAGTTTTTGAATATAACTGCATTATTTACAGTTTTGTCCAGTAATAAGATGGTGTCTCACTGAAATCAGAGATGATGGGCTAGGTATGCTATATAGTAGTAGTTGAGCTTTTTCATTGTTAGGGTAAGGCTCAGTTAAGTGGAAATTTCTTTTTAAAAAAGCTGGTAGCTCGTTGCTTAGATAAATAATAAGTGCGGTAAGCCAACTTACATATTGTGATCCACGAGCAACTGAGGAACAGAACAGGTTTAGTAGCGTTTATTTATGTAGTGAGCAAGGGTGGTTCATTGTTTGAGCCATCCTTGTAGTGGATTGATTGATTATAGTTATTAGACTAATTACAGTATTTTCCCCTTTCTAATTTGCCATTTTTTAGTCGCATGCTGTGCTTTTAAATTTTAAGGTGTTTGTTAGTACTAAGTTCTCAATGTACTGCAAGCAGTTTTCTTCTGTTTTACTTGCTGTCTGCTCAACAGTATTTGATAACAGCATCATTGATATAGTGAGAACCTTGACTCCCAACAGAAATCAGTAGTTACTTGTTTTGGATAGTGATACGCATTTGTTCAGGGAGAATATGGTGCTGATCTCTGTTTTATAGGCAGATGAATAAAATTTAAATAATTTGTCGACAGAAACTTGTGGTCAAGCTGTGTATTGAGCTCAGATCATATAAATCCTGTGTTAGTGATTTTATTACGTACTTGGTTTTGTGCCTTGGAATTGCTATGTTGATTATGCTGAAGAAAAAAATTAGACCTCCTCTGTGAACTTGCTTCAGAATACTTTCTGTGAAGAAGAGGTGCTTGAATAATATCTGGGGAGGAAAGGATTAGAAATTCACACTTGGTTATGGTTAGTGACAAAAGTAGGTAAATGTTAAAAATATGTTAAAAAAATTAATTTGTCTCAAGCTTTCGTAATAAGGTTCTTTGTGATAAAAACTTCCTAACCTAATGCATAATGAACTTCTGAATTACTTTGTCAACGAAAGGTATTCTTTCTTCTTGAACTGGAAGCACCTGGACACTCTACTGTAAATCCTTAAATCTTTTTCCACCTTTTTTTTTTTTTTTGTTTTTTTTACATGAGTTGTACATGTATTATGGGTTTATAATTTTTTCTCTAGTAAAAACAAAAAAACCCCACAGGTGATTTGAATTCTGTCCCTTGAAAGAGTATGTAAAATGAAGAAATTTATGACGCACAGAGTAGTTTTAATTTCCCTCCTTGCTGGAAGATAGAGAGAACTGTTAAATCCAATTTAAGATTGAAGGCTAACTACCTAAAATGTACGTAAAAAGAAATATAAACCCTGGTATTTTGCCTCCTAGGATTCTAAACTACCATCTTCTGTCCGGAATACACTCCTTGAGCTTTTTGGGCAAATAGAGCGGGAGTTTGAAAACCTGTATATTGAAAATTTAGAATGTGAGTATCTGTTTTTTCCAGCAACTTACAATTGTTTGGATTTAGCATATAGTAATGCTAATTGAGATGCTTACCTTGGATACTGTAGTGTAATTAGTGTAACTTTCCTGTGAGGAGTTTAAGAATTGTTTTGAACTTGTAGCCAAAGATGAAGTTTGTACCTTTTCAGAAAAATCACTTTCTTGGCTCTTTGACACAAGAAGTGAGAACTGATGTGTATCATCCTCCTTGACTCTTAGGCAAAGAAAGTGAAATGACTGTCTTCTTGTCATTGTAGGCTCTGGATATACCATGTTAATCTGACAGTAACTCCGTTCATCTGTTGGAGGTTGTGGCTTTGTTGTATATTTACAGACTTAATTTTAATGATGTAATCATTAAATTTTGGATCATACTACTTAGTACCTTGCATAACCAGCACCTGCAACTGTTCATGAATTTTGAAGTCAAGCACTTGGATAAAAGTTCCACGTGTTACCTGCAAAAAATATTAAACAAATAACATTGTGCAGTCGTATGGTAATGTAAGTGATCCAAGGTCATGTAAGAGGAACTAGAGTAACACAAGCAGTCGTACAGTAAACCCTCTGCTCAATTTTCCTTGCTGGATTTTGGAAGCTGTGTTGCGTGGCTTGGCTTCTGAATTGTGGAATCTGTCTGATTTGGCTCCAAGACAAATTTTTTTCCACACCTAATCTGTTCCCACAGTTAAGCCAAACGCTCGTGTTAAAAAAAAAAATGTTCTTGTGTGCCTTTTGAAAATGTGCTGGCTTTTTAGTCTCTTAAAACCTGAAATTGTCTTGGTTAAAGGCT